GCACAATACAAGTGTATGGTGTTTTCCAAGTGTATATACATATGATGCAAACAAATATATCTTCTAAGGGTCTCCTCCATACGAGGGAAAGATATTCCACTTCTTCTTAGTTAACCCGCAAAAGAATTATATAAACACAATTTCCTTATAAAGTAACTCATTACTGTTTTTAAATATTCCTTGTTTCATAGAAATGCTTTCTTTTGAACATAGTTACCAAATTTTAAACTTTCATATTGAAAAAAAATTTTTTTTAATAAGATTTTGAAAAACTTTGAAAAATACTGACCTCTTCGAAATCTAAAATTTGGTTGAAAAATCAATGAAACATGTTTTAAAAAGTAAATTGAAGCAACAAAATTATCAATAAGAATTAATTATTTAATAAGTGGGAAAATTTGCACGATTTTCCATTTGTTAACCAGAAAAAGTACAATTCTTTTTCGGTGTAAATGTGCTCCTTATATACTTTGTAAATATTTTTTTTAACAACATGGCTCAACTTTTTAACAATAAACAACGTGGCTGCTACACCAACTACCAGTATTTCATAAACATTTTGTTTCAGAGTAATAAAATGGTTTTCAATGCTACACGTATTGGTGGATGAAATAAATAGAATAATTTCCTAACCACGGGTTCTATATTCGGTTGATCACCTAACTGGAACTTTACTCTTGCACCTTAGAGCCTAAGGTAAAAATAACTGCAATAGGTACAGGAGGCCTTGAGCTGACGCATGGGCCAATGAGCTTTGTTAAGTATTGTAATCATAATTACCATCACTATGAATTATTTAAAATATTTAAGATCTACCACTTGAACTCATAAGAGTTTGTTTCAGTACATTAGAATCTGATCATTAAATTAAAAGTTAATTCCGCATTTATAAAGTAAAAGGATTATTTTTTTTTAAAACCATACATAGAAATAACTGTATAAGTGTAATAATGATATATGACCCAGGGTAATGAATTATTTTGATTTTATGTTCCAGTGTTTCACCCAAAACATTCATGGGTTTTAAAATCAACATCCGATCCTTCGAAATCTATTCTTCAAGCATTCAACTTTTGATGTATGAGCCAAATGCAGTAATACTGCACCCGAAGTATTGTTAAAGAGTTTGTAACATTACGTATTTCGAATAATAAAATTAAATGGGGTTATAAGCTATGATCCATGCAAAAAGTAAAAAAATAGGATACGAAAGATAAGAAGGTAAACGTCATCAAGGCATCTTGGACTCGTTGAACCGTATTTACCCCGTAATAAAAGCCACTAAGGAAAGAAACAAGATGAGGGGATCAGAATAAATATAATAAAAAAATCGTAGGCTCCTGAAGTATGCATTGAAAGCATCGATGGAGAGTTTAGAGAAGCAAATGAGTGTGGGGGGGGAATTTTAAAATAATTGATTTTATGTTTTCTTGTAAAAATATTAGAATATTAAACTAAAAATAGTCGTTATAAATCAATTCAACGAGTGATTTAACATATATTATTTAATCTATAATTTAACCTATTTTTGCCAACGATATTATTTAACCCATTTTGAAACAAGAACAGAAATTTTCGTTGCTAATTGTTCGCAAAACAATTACCGTCAACCGGGAGTAAATTAAGACAATTTTTCGTATTTTACTCATATATTCATTTATAAAATAATAATTAACAGTCCTTCAGCATGCAAATTAAATTTTAATCAATTATCAAAGTATAAGGAAGAAAACAGTGCAATATTTTAAAGCTATGCATTTATGTTTTCGTAAAATTTAAAATGCATCGTCAGAAAAAAATAAGGAAAAAAATATTGCGCATCGGTAAAAGGTTGCACATCAATCCAAAAAATTTCTCTTAAATTGGTTCTAAAAATTGGAATTTATTTTTAAAAATTAATCACACGAGGACCAAAGTAGCCCCAGTTGACTGTAACATATAGAAAAAAGTGGAATCAATTTCGAAATCTAGAAGCGATTGTGGATAAACCAAGTGTATTAGCTAATGCTCATCTAGCATAGATGGCGGTCATTCTGAAAATTAAAGAACCTACGAAATAGATGATGACAGAAATTCTAATGAAATTGATTCATCTCAGCATCTTGAACTTTCTTGTGTATCAATAGTTTCCCTGTCATTTTGTTTTATAGATTCCTCACCAAAGTTGTTTACTGCTACATTCTTAGTTAGCTCATTTTGGTCCATTGCCATCTTATCACAGGAATCGAACAATTCATTGCTGATCAATTCTAAAGGTGAGACATCTGGGAGTTCACCATTGACTTCGTCCAGCTGATCTCCATTGTGTGTCTCTTCATCGCTGTATATGTTCTTGAGTCGAGGACTGAGATACCAGACAACAATGTCTGTACAGCTTCCAAGGAAGATGAAGATAGCGCTGACACCATGCAGCATGTACCGGAATTTTTCGATGTCGTAGATCCAGCAATTGCCAGTTTTTCCACAACTGTGCTCCCACACAAGACAGCAAGAATCAGAGAGGGCTCCAAATAAGATTGGATAAGGAATGAAGGCTGTAAGAAAAGAAATGATCAAAAGTTATGACCTTACTAATTTAATTTCCTTACGACGTTATACTGAAAGAAGTGCTGTAGTTGAAGGGAACGTCGTTCCCTCAAAATATTTGGCTTGATGCCGTAAAAAAAATTTTGAAAAAATTGCAATCCAATTTGTTTAATTCTCTTTTATTCACTTATTATATTTTTAAGAAGTGAGATAAAAATTTCGGCTCGGTTCTGGGAAAAAAAATTTTGCACTCTGACAGACTGTTCTAATCATGTTCGAAAGCGCAAAGGAGCTTTTAAATCTGATTGGTGCAAGTGTTGAACTCGTTTGTAAATAAACGCATTGAGAATATAGTCCTGTTTAAAAAATTGTGAGTTCGGAAATGCTTATAGCGCTTAAAATTTTTGACGTAGCTGTAAAGCTAAGCAATCAAAGTAAATATTTAAATTGCATTTATCAGTATTCAATGAGAACAAAATCCATATATAAAGTGGAATTTAGTTAATTTCATGTGTTTGAAAAATTTGGAATAATAAATGAAGCTATTTTTCTTTATAACTCTGTTTTACATATTCTGTAATCTCGTAAACAAGGAAACCAGTTTAAGAGCAAATAATTGTATTCAAGCAATTAAAAAAAAGAGGGACTCATGGAGTTTACTAACTTTTCATTTGAATAAAGACACTTCTTAACTAAAGAAAGTTATTACTAATGTGAACGTCTCTTACTGTTAAACTTTAACAAAACTAATCTGTATCTTTTTCATGTGTATATGCATGTACATATTTTCTATCGATCAAGACTACGTGTTAAAAAAATAAGTATTACACAGTATTTTTCAAATGAGGAAGAATTGTGTATTTACCAATATTTAATAAACATTTATGGAGTTTATCTTATACGTCGAAATGCAGGTGTGTTTATGCAGAGAAAGTACGTTTTCATTCCTGATTTCGTAATTTAAAATATCGTCTACACTTTACTCTATCGTCAACTACGAATTTTTGTTAGACCCTCGAACGGATTGAGTGTTTGTTCGAGAAAATTCGATCACAAGATCAAAAATTATTCACGGTGCTCAATTTGTTATTTTTCTCACTGTAAAATGCTAGAAAAACCTTCTCCCTAGTTTTCTTAAGCAAACAAACTGAAATTGATAATTTTTTTTAAACTAGTACAAGATTTGTTAGTTTCCTACCTAATATGGAAGATACTCCTGATAATGCCCCCAAAGCCGCACTTTTGTCTGCTGGATCAACACATCTACAACAGAATTCGCTTTATTATTTGACACAAATAAAAAAATCTGCAAATTGAAATCATTAAAAAATATTTATTGAACTAATAATACAGAAGATAGCGTTCAAAAAATTTAAAACAATTTTTTTTTGAGCATTTCTTTCACTAAACCAAATGTCTAAAACTCGATGCATCTCATTTTAGCGTTGTCTCCTCCTTTAACTCCAAGATAATATGACAGAAATATTTTGTTAATTTTCCGCCCGAACTTGGCAATGAGGACCTTTAGGATAGTCAGTAAGGAATGCTGGACAATGGTTTTTAACCATAAAAAGCAGTATTGCATAAAATACTAGGCAAATGTATACCAAGCAATAAACCCTTTACTTTAAAAAAAAACACATTAGTGATTAAATGCTACGCATTTCCCGTTTTTTGTTAACTTGAAAAGATATAAAACTGTACTGTTCGTTTCCCATAGAGAGGCTTCTTGGAATTGCTGCTGCTTTGTAGCAGTCTTGAAAGGACTACTTCTGCTTGCTTATTTGTTTTATAATCTGGCGTCCGAGCAAGTGTGAGTCGGTTTACGATAGATTAAATTATTATTATTACTGGCGATTACTGAGAAACACCTTTTTTTTTAAAAAATATTATTTTAAAAAATCCTCATCATTTACTTTGACCGATATTTCCGATATTGATGTTTTTTAAAGTTAAGAGGCATTGCCGAAATTTTTCCGAAGAATTATTCACTCTCATGGGAAGGAAGCTTGAGATTGTAGGGTGCTTTGCTCCCCCCCCCCGTGTAAAACTGGATGTTTGTGTTACTGGGGGAGTTGCCCACCTAAAGAGCAATATCTTGAAAAAGAAATCGAGTAGCTAACTCTTTAATAAATTTTCTGGCTATTTGACATTTCATTCGAATAAATGACAATTGTTAGCTGTATCAGAAATGACAGGTTTAAAAATCAGTTAAAGAAAACTAAAGACTAGTGCACAGTTAACGGCGTTCTGCGTTGGAAACTGAAATTTATCCTCAGATTTTCAAAATGAATAATAAATTAAACTGATAGGACTGCTAGCTGAAAAAACAATGAAACACTTTTATCTGTAGCTTGCTTGATAATTATAACAGAGCGAAATAAACTCACTTCGATATGTGATGGATCGGCAGATTTTATTTCCTAATCAGAACATTTTTATATTCATTCATTTTCCGATAGCAAATTTTTTTTAAACCGTCGGACATTTTTGGTATACCTGATAAATTTGTTATAGAACATTCTCAATGTTGTTAATGTAGGAAAATCGAAACATTCACGACCATTCGGGCCAGAAGACCATGATCTTTGGCCAAAAGTCAAAAAATAAATTTTCAACTTAAATATGCGTAGGCAGTTTCAATATAGCCCAAATTGTATTCATAATCATGAAGTAAATCTTAATCATTAATCCCTCTTAAGATTAAGTCCTAGAACGTGACGATCAGATCATTAGATCAAAAGTGATCCAGGGTGGCCCGGTTTTTTTTTCAGCATTGTACATTATTGAAATAATTGTCAGCATTAATATTTTATTAGATGAACAGACAATAAAGGGATTGAAGGGAAAATTTTCTTTTTTTAAAGTTAGAAAAGCGATATTACACTTCAGCACACTTTGTTAAATATTATTTTGAATTTTATGCACTCCCAAAGCCTATCACCATAATTGGACGGAATTCAGCTACCACAACAAAGAACTAGACTGGTTTTTATTTATTCCTGGTTTCATTGTTGTGGTCAGTTATACTCATATTTTATTATGATCTTCTATTAGTTTGCAATGTTTGAATCTGGTCTAAAAAAAAGTGTGCATTCTGAATTTGTCTTAAAAACATGATTAAGAAAAGTTTGACTCACCTTAAAAAGACTAAAGCACTCGCAACACCCGTTGTAGAAGACATAAACCTACCCACACAGATGACAGCAATATAGACAACAAGCCACTGGCATTCAAAATTACAGTAACCCTTTAATGCCTCTCCAACAATCACTTCTCCCTCACTATTGTGCACACATTTGCAGTCTGAAAATATCTGTAAAATGATGTTACTTTTTATGCTCCATAAGAGTTCATAGTCAAAGCGTACTTAAGGTAAAAAACAAATAAAATAAAAAAAATTTATATATATATATATATATATAAATATAGTATATCAGTCATGTGTGGAACTATGTATTCGGATATTTCTCTATCTCTTGGCAACACTGAAGTTTCACTTTGATAGGTTGTATAGTATAAGAGATTGTCGTAAGCAGTGTTGAATACTTAGTTATTCGTTAAATATTTATTTAGAATTTCTTATTTTTATAGAAATAAACACTTAGTTACCAAGTAATTTTGAAAATTTATTTTTATTATTATTTAAAATGGCTGTACCAATTTTATCATAAACGGTGCTATAGTGTCGCATATTGCCATAACGATTATTATTGGTGACGAAGCTTGTCTTTTTCGAGCGTAATTAGAGAGTCCGCACTTTAGATCGTTTATTCCTAAAATAAAATCTTGATCACAAAAAATATTTAACAAACGTTTTTTTTTTTTTAGTTTCAGTTTGCTCTGTGTAATACTAGCCTGTTTGTCGGTATGATTGCGAGAGTGTTTCTGCAATATATTTACCTCTTTATCATCTTCAGTTTTATTGTAACTGTTGCATCCAGCATAGCAGGGTGAAAAATAAGTGGTCTTTTTGTCTGGACCACAAATGGGTGTATAAGATTTAGTAGTGCATAAGCAGTCACGGTTGCAGTCATTTTCTAAATTCATTCTGAAACAGTAAAGAAATCAATTAGTATTAAGCATAGTAAATCAAGCTCGTAAAAACCAACTTGCGAAATCAAATGTTTATTTAGAGATATAAAATTAGTGAAATTACGAGAAAAATAGTAGCTTGAACTAGTGGTCGTATTTTAATTGTCCTAATGAACGATACTCAGTGTTCCATTTAAAAAAAAAACGACTTGAAAATCCTAATAAGTAAATACATGAGTTCAAACTTTGCTTTCGCTATAATTAAGTACACAAAATAAAAAACTAAACACAAAATGTGGCGAAAGGTTCTCGAGAAAAGGAATTTTTAAATATATGACTTTTTGAAAATAAATAATTCCGAAACTATTCAATCGATTTCGTACAGATCATGCATTTTGTCATTTTAATTTGTTTACCTTAAAATAATGTCATAAATTGTACTTGCTACAATTTAAAAAAAATCGAATGTTTTTTTTAACAAAATAAAAATTAAAATATTATTTATTTATTTATTTGGAGTGAATCTTTGGAAAACGAATTTTATAAATGCGAGAGAATGTTTTTGATTTGCTTTAAAAATTCTAGAGATATAGCAAAATACACAAACGTGAAATTAATATTAAAGGGTCCAACGCCTTTCTTCACCAAACGATTGGGACCCAATTTTTCAGATGGCGAGCACTCCCATATTTTGAGGATCGAAAATCCTGATTCGCTGAAATAAAAGAATTCAGAGAAAGTACATTTTTGTGTCTGAGTTCGTAACTTCAAATATCGTCTACGCTAATTAATTAGAATACTTAAGGCTTAGCTTTCGAACTATTAAGATTAAATCTCAGTACGTGAAAATTTGGTCCTTAGATCCAAAGTTATTTAGGGTGTTCTTATTTTGAGTCCATTGAAAAAGATTATTCATCTGAAGCTTTTATTAACAATTATTTACTGCTTGTTAAAATAAACAGACACTTGTAAAAAAGTGCCGATTATAATTTCTTCTGCGAAAGTAGACCTACCAGGCCGGGATAGACTTATCGGTAGGGCGTGGGTCCGCCTATGTCCGAGACTTCAAGGGTTCGAACACCCGACGGCCGAAGACGTCTCGTCACCATACACCGTGTGGTGTATGGTGACTGATGCACGTTAAATCTGTCGAATTGCAAAGTTCACCATGTTTTCATAAAAAATCAATACCTCTGGGGATATTGAATTGGAGAACGATCGTTCTCTGATTCAGGTCGAAATTACGATCTGTGGATGAAGAAATGGATGTATGAATGGGTCAGTCCTGTAAACGGGTGTGATGCATGGGTGTGGCAAAAGTCGAATTCTTGGCCATGGATAGGCCAATGGAAAACAAGAATAATCTTACCCCTCTGCTTAAACAGGCATACGTTAACAACAAGTAGATCTACCTCCATCGTTGTTAGCTCTGGAAGTATCTTAAACGATTTACTGCTTTTGCCATGCAGCATATCAAGACACAGCAGTATTTTGGCTAACGAACAGTTAAACTATTAAATACTTTTTCTATTCATAAAACTTTAGATTGCAACAAATAATTGCAAGTTTTTACCAAGAAATGAGTGAATTTAAGCGCTATCCAAACGCTGAGGTTCATTTCATGCCGGCTCTAAATTGCCGACTACATTAAACTTATCATTTTTACTCACAGCGTACTCGTGAATGAGCTTTCTTGATCTGTCTGTACGGGTTGGCAGTTTATTTGCATTGATATCAGAAGAGCCAAGAGACCAAAGGATTCGGCAAAAAGCAATCCTCCTGTAAGAATTCGTGGACGAGGTTTAAATCTTCTCACCAAGCCACCACCAATGAGAATACCAAACATCATTCCTACGATGCTTATGGGTCCTGTAATAGTTAAAATGACATGCCGTTAAAAGTGAAAAGTTTACAAATGACTTAAAAGTTTCAAAGTTCTAAAGTGTTCCTTAAAGTATGTATTTTTAGTGTTGCCTCATAAGATTTGCATGCAAAGCAGCAACTGACAAGGACGAATCAAACATTGCCAATCCCTTAGTTATGTCTCTGAAAGTTAATTTGGTATTATGGTGAAGAAGAAGAAAAAAAAGAGGGAGGGGGTGACATTTCGCTCACAACAATCTGGTATTGCCATCCATGTTTATTTAAACTCCCTCCCAAGAGTTATTCATTTAGACATTCAATAGAATCATTCATCAGTGCAAAGAATACAAATAACAAAGTATAAAGTGTTACTCTTATAAAATCAAAAATTCAAAACATCACATTAAAGGCAAAAAAAAATTTTTTGGATAGCTTTTTGACATCCTCTACGGCGATCAGAATTTCCTTTTAAAAATTTTAAAGTGGAAATGACTAGAAATTCTTAAGATATTTTTTCTTATTTTCATTAAGATTAAACTCCATTTGAAGTGATTGGAATACTCAATGACATAAATTTAAACTTCAAGTGCATGACTTCCTTAATAGACAGAACTATTACATTTGAAAGAGGGAAATGAAATTCTGACAGCGAGGGAAAGGTAATGGAGAAACAATATTTCCGGAGGATTTGAATAAATGGATTGTCAGTGTGAATAGATTGATTTTAAAGGAATGTCTGGCAGTTATTTCAATTTATACCTATGCAGTGGATTCAGTCATTGTAATTCTTTACGCAATTTTTAAAAGACGAGAAATTACATATCTGAACCAATATTTTTTAAGACAAATAGAGTAAAGGCTTAAAAAGTGATTTTTTTTCTTTCTTTTAACCCCTTCAGGACCGGCCGGGAGGAGAGAAAAAGCTCTTCTGAAAGTTCCGAGTTTATACGCGCTATGCGTAACTAATACGGGATTTTATACGAGAAGACTTAATTGAGATCTCGGCCGTGTGACCTTGGGCCGCTAGAAATTAGAACGGCTCGTTTTATATGTGATATCGCGGGCCGTAAAGAAAGAATCGCGCGATCACGTATCATTGCTCTTATGGGGTTGATGCACCTCGAAAATTTTATGTCACTTTAAAAATATGAACTTAAAATAACGTAAATTGTATATTATGTTTTTGGAAATACATTTGAATAAATTGTGAAGTTCAAGTTGTATTGTATACTCTAAAATTGAAATAATTTTCTCCTTCTATATCTTAAAATCGTAAACGACGCTACTGCTTCTCGTATTCTACTTCATATTTTGTTTTCATGAGCAAAAACTATATGACCTAAACTTGAAACTGTGAATAGAGTGGGAAAATGGACAAAGGGTACATTGGACGAAAAAAATTTAAAAGTTCGGTTAATTGTGCGAGATTTATTAAAAGTTAAACTTGCAGTGAAAAATAACATGCAGTCTTTTGCCCACAGGAATGTAGCTAATCTGTTAAAATTTGATTTGCTGGCAGCGCTAAATTTTTATGAGCCTCAAACGTTTTAGTTTAAAAATTCTAATTTTTTAAATGTTAGGGCAATTTTTAGTGCTATTTTAATGATGTGATTTTTCATCTCTGTCATCTATTTTTATGTCACATAATTCTCCAGTAATCGAATTATAAAAATACGTCTTCTTTAAAATTCAATTTCTCGGGAACTATTCTGCCGATTTCGCTCAAATTCTGTATTAGCCATGTAAAATTACGCTCTTTAAAAAGGTATAAAAATGGTATACCTGACCCAGAATTTTTTCGACCATTATTAAAAATAATGAATAATAATAATCAATACTTACTAAAAGTTATTTTTTGCATGCAGTTATCTTTCAATAAACGAATTTCATAATTCTGTACAAAATTTTTTCGATGCGCAAATAAATTTTCGAGACATGGTGAAATACGCAAAAAGTATAATTGACATTAAAGTGTCCAGAATTTGGACTGCTCTCCGGAAAAAACTACTGAAACAATATATCCCAGATTGCGGCTATCCCTTAAATTTTGGGAATCAGAAATCCGAATCAATAAAAAAATGTATGTTTATTCAGAGAAAGCACGTTTTTTGTATCTGATTTTGTAACTTAAATTATTGTACTAGCTTCGTAACTTTGAATATTGTCATATTGTACTAATTAATTAGCATATTTGAAATAACTCTCGCGAATCATTAAGATTGAGTCCTCGAACGTGAAGATTCGGTAATGAGATAAAAAGTTATTAAGGATGGTCCAACTATTATTTGCGTTCTGTACGTGACATTTTAGTTAAGTTGAGAAAAACTAGCTCCAAAATTGATGAATGCTTAACCCTATGAACACGTGTCATTAATGAAGGAATCATAAAGCTTCCAGATTATCATTTCTGTTTGCAGACGACCTTTACAGACTATTCTGATTTTCCAACATTTAAAATGATTTTTAGTGAAACCAAAGTAATTAAATTCAGAAATAATTTGAATGTTGAATAAAAATAAATATCTAAATTAAGGAAAATACAATTTTATAAGACAGCAAATCATTCATTATAGTGATTATTGTTCCTAATATTATTGATTTAGATTTTGCGCTCTGATTAAATACACGAAGAAAGTGTTAAGAATGGTGACATTGGGTAAAATCCTTATCTCTCCAGAATTCAGTTCACACTCCTAAAAGTAATATTGGCGGAAGTATATTTGCAAGAAGTTTTCTAAGGAAGCTTATTTTTGTTCACATTTAGGCTAACCATTAATAAATTGCTATTATGTGTTTCTTCGCTTCAATTCTGTTATAAGTAATCTGGTCTAATTAAATCCTTTATTTTAAATATTTTGGTCCAATTTAAATTTTAATTTACTTTATGAGATTAGTACTGTCCAAAAATGCCAAAACCCTCAATTATATTCCTTGATGACTCACTATCTTCTATCCAATAATTTGGAGGGATACCTGTTGATGTTGTACGTGGACTAGGATAGAATTTGGTTTTGCTTTGACTATGGAATAAAAAAATTTCGACTTTATATTTAAAAAATCTTTGATTCATCATGTTATTATTAAAAGTGTAGGGTCCAGCCGAACACAACATAGCTTACAGCTTTTGCTGTTTGCTTATATATATATATATATATATATATAGTAAAA